ACCCACTTCGGCCTCCCAAAGTGCTGGGATTACAGGCATGAGCCATCGCACCCGGCCACAACTAAAATAATTTTTTAAAAAATTTTACCCACTTTTAAATAACAAAATCCCATTCCATGTTAACAAAAATACCATGTTTTTATGAAAAATAGCTGTCTTTTCCAAAACAAAAAAAATACAGAAAAGAGTGATACTCTGTTACATTTTTGTAAATGTCTTTGATATTGGCTTCATAGAAGCAGCTGGATTCTCATACCTGCTTTTGCATTCAAGCTCTTGGATTTGATTTTTTTGGTTGAAGTATATGAAGCAAATCAAATCTCACAAATATGTCATTGGAAAAGTAAGGAGTATTTAGTAGCTTTTTCAGATAATTACGGATACTCTTCTTTATATACTGTTCCAATATCCAGTGAATAGTAGTTTCTTAAAGGTTAGTTACTGTGGAATTTGTAACCACGTCTGTGAATTTTTTATATTGTTACATTAAAATCTGTTGGTGTACTGGGCACTTTGAATGGATCTTTTACATGCATGATTTTATATCATGCACTGGTCATTTGGCAAATATGGGTTTAGTGAGTTATATACAGCTTCCAAATATTGACACATGTCACTATATAGTACTTAAAATATAACATTAACTAATAGTATAATATTTGTCATAGAAGTCTTAAAATATTGCAAAACTGTCAGGTACTTGAAAGCTCATATTTTATCATTGATAACAAATTTTCTTAGATCTTTATCTTGAAGTGACAGGCCCAGATGATTCATGTTGAGAAAATATCTGCCAAATACATGTCTGCCAAAATATATTTGGCATATATAATGCCAGTTATAATCAAATTAAAATGTTTATTGCCTCATCAAGGGCCTTTTCAATTAAGACTGACTTTTTTATTGCAAATGTGCAGCTATAAAGAATACAGCAATTACTAGTATGGTTTGCTGCCACTGCTTTGATTCCTATTAAGACACAAGCAGTTTTACTCACAGGAAAGAAACAACCAATATCTCAGTTTTATTATGAAAATAATTTTGACATTGGGGACTCTTTTGATAGCTGCTATTCTAGAATAAAATAGGTTTATTGCAGTCACAAATAAGCCTGAGATGTAGGGTTATGGAATTTAGTATAGATGGGTTGTTGAGAGAAAAATATATGGGTATCAAGGGCAATTTTTAATATCTGCAGGTTCCTAAGGGCTGACTGTGGGACTTGATTATCTGCAGATTTTGATATTAGTGAGGGGACCTGTAACCAATCCTCCACAGATACCAAGGGACACATAAAGACAATGATGTCGGTTTTTCTTTACCAGATTAGTATTAATAGATAAGAAGTTCTAGGGAAATACAGAGGAGAATAGGTTGTCATTATTATTGTTGTTGTTATTCATAATAAAGATGATTTTGGAGTATAGTAGAGGAACAGCCTGGCCTGATTCTTTGGTTTGGAGAGGGCTAGAGAAGCTAGGAAGTTTCAAAGAAGACTTCATAGAATAAATGATTCTTAAGTGATCAGTAATATTTTGAATAAATTGCTATTTTAAACTGAATATATAATAGAAATGTTTTTACTGATTAGCTAATTAAGGTACGGTTAAGCCTTTCTCTAGAGAAACTGTGAACATGATTAACATCCCTCTCCAAATGTAGGAAATCATGTCGATCTTATTTTCTGATGTCTCTAGACTCATACAAGGTAGGCAATAAGACAGTGAAAGCAGGAGCTAGTTTTGAAAAATGTCTGTGCAAAAGAGGAAAATGTCAAAGAGATGATGATAGAAACATGGGTTGGATCAAAGAGGGTCATGGTCATAATACCTAACATTTACATCCACTGGATTATATGCCAGGGGCTTCTCTGAGCACTTTGCCATGTGTATGTAAGATCAGTTGAATGTATTTATGTAAGTCTACTTCTGGGCTTTCTGTTCTGTTTCGTTGATCTGTTTGCCTATTCTTTTGCCAGTACCACACTGTCTTATTTACTATAGCTTCCTGATAGGTCTCAAAGTTTGGTAGTGTCAGTCCTCCAACTGTTTTTCCCCAATATTGTATTGGCTATCCTGGATCTTTTGCCTCTCTTTATAAACTTTAGGATCATTTTGTTAATATCCATAAAATAACTTGCTGGGATTGCTTTTGGAATTATGATGAATATGTGGGTCAAAGTGGGATGAACTGACATTTTGTCAATATTGAGTCTTCCTTTCCATGAACTTGGAATCTCTCATTTATTTAGTTCTTTGATTTCTTTCATCAGAGTGTTATAGTTTTCCTCGTATAGATCTTTTGCATATTTTGTTAGATTTATACCTAATTATTTCATTTAGTGGAGTGCTAATGTAAATGGTATTATATTTTTGCCTCAAATTCCACTTATTTCTGACATAAAGGAAAAGTGGTTGATTTTTGTATATTAACTTTGTACCTTAGAATTTTTTTTTTTTTTTTTTTTTTTTTTTTTTTTTGGGGACGGAGTCTCCCTCTGTCACCCAGGCTGGAGTGCAGTGGCCGGATCTCAGCTCACTGCAAGCTCCGCCTCCCAGGTTTGCGCCATTCTCCTGCCTCAGCCTCCCGAGTAGCTGGGACTACAGGGGCCCACCACCTTGCCCGGCTAGTATTTTGTATTTTTGGTAGAGACGGGGTTTCACCGTGTTAGCCAGGATGGTCTCGATCTCCTGACCTCGTGATCCGCCCATCTCGGCCTCCCAAAGTGCTGGGATTACAGGCTTGAGCCACCGCGCCCGGCCTTAGAATTTGTTTTTAATTGTTTATTAGTTCCAGGGGTGGTTTTTGTTTGTTTGTTTGTTTTGTCCTTTCAGATTATCTGTTTACACAATCATGTCATCTGTGAACAAAAGCAGTTTTGTTTCTTTCCTCCCAATATATATACTTTTTATTTCTTTTTCATTTTATTGCTTTAGCTAGGACTTCTAGGATAATATTAAGAAGCGTGGTGAGAGGGGCATCCTTAACTTTATTCCCCTGATCATTTGAGTTTTTCATCATTAAGTATGCTATTAGCCATAGGAGTTTTTTTTTTTTTTTTTAAAGATATTCTTTATCAAGTTGAGGAAGCTTCCCTCTACTTCTAGTGTACTGAGGCTATTTATCATCAATAGGTATTGGATTTTGTCAAATGCATTTTCTGCATCTATTGGTATGATCACATGATTATTTTTAGCCTGTTGATACGATGTAATGGTTTAATTGATTTTTGAATGGTTAACCAGCCTTGCATGCCTGGGATGAATTCCACTTGGTTATGATACTCTTTTTATTCATTGTTGAATTCAACTTGCTAATATTTTTGCTTTTATGTTTATGAGCAATATTGGTCAATAATTTTTATTTCTGTAACTGTCTATATCTGGTTTTGGTATTAGTATAGTGCTGGCCTCATAGAATGAAGAAGGTATTCCCTTTGCTTCTGTTTTCTGAAAGAGTTTGCAGATAATTGGTGTACAGTTGTCCTTTGGAATCTGCAGGGGGATTGGTTCCAAGAATCCCACACATATACCAAAATCCAAAGATGCTCAAATGTTTTATATTAAATGGTGTGGTATGTGCATATAACCCATGCATATCCTCCTTTATATTGTAAATCATCTCTAGATTACTTATACCTAAGATAATGTAAATGTTATGTAAATAGCTACTACCTGGATTTTTATATGTACTATTTTTATTGTTGTATTGTTATTTTTCTTTTTTTTTTTTTCCAAATATTTTTGATCCATGGTTGATTGAATCCACAGATGTAGAACCCACAGATACAGAGGGCTGACTGTAACTTCTTCCTTAAATGTTTAAAAGAATCCACCAGTCAATTCATCTGGGCCTGGGGCTTTCTGTTTTGAAAGTTATTAATTATTCAGTTTCTCTGACAATATAGGACTATTCTGATTGTCCATTTCTTGTGTGAGTTTTGGCAGATTGTGTCTTTCAAGAAATTGGTACATTTCATCTACATTGTCACAGCTGTGGGCATAGAGTTGTCTGTAATATTCATGGATTATCTTTTAAAAGTTCATGGGAACTTTTGTGTGGAGGAAAAGTTAAATATTAAATTTGAACTGAATTGAATGTGGACACAAACAATGGTCACCAAGTCCTGGAACAGGTTGTGTGAGCCCCTTGAGGTGTTCTTCCAGCACTGTTTCAGAGAAATCTCTATTTCAATCTATTCCTATACCTTGGTTATTGAAAAGCAATAGGCTGGGTGCGGTGGCTCACACCTGTAATCCCGGCACTTTGGGAGGCCAAGGCGGGTGGATCACTTGAAGTCAGGAGTTCAAGACCAGCCTGGCCAACATTGCAAAACCCCATCGGTACTAAAAATACACAAATTAGCCAGGGACGGTGACGGGCACCTGTAATCCCAGCTACTCAGGAGGCTAAGGCAGGAGAATCACTTGAACCCAGGAGGCGGAGGTTGCAGTGAGCCGAGATCGTGTCACTGTGCTCCAGCCTGGGCGACAGAGCAGGACTCATCCCCCAAAAAAAGAAAACCAATAGACAATCATAAAAACAAGTTGACCTTTTTGTGTTCCTTGAGCACAGTCACCAAGGGCCTTCGTGACTGGACCTCCTGCCAAACCACTCGTTACAAAAACAGCTAGGTTCCCACGCTGCGCCGAAGCTTCATGAGACCTCTCCTTGTCTGTGTACAGACAAGTGGCTGACTATGGTGCCCAGGCTGTTGCTTCCCAGTCTGGTGGTTGTTAGAAACAAGTGCTCGGAGCCACAAAGTGAAACCAGCACTCAGGCAAAAAGCGTTCTCAGCAAGGCAATTTACTTCTGCCGAAGGGTGCTCCCTGCATCAGCCACGATTGCAAGAGCACACTGAACAAATAGGGTAGATGCGCAATTCGCAAGGGAGTGGGTAGCAATTGTTCTTCTGCTATGGCACAAGACGTGTCTGGACATGTCTGGGCAAGTTAGGGCACGGCAAGAGCAGGAGGACTGCTTGCAGGCTAAAAATGAGAATGTACAAGGAGATAGGGCCTTCGAACCAAGGACATTACACAATGAAACCCTTTGAAGAGGAATTCACCACCTCTGGCATGGTGAATCCTCCATAGTCTGGTGAGTGCGGTGTCCAGCTCTGGAGCCCAGGCTGTTGCTTCCCAGTTTGGTGGTGAATCCTCCATAGTCTGGTGGGTGTAAAGACATTTATCTCTTTTTCCCTTCTCCCCTTCGCATTGCAATTTGCTTATTATATCATTTGCTTATTATATCAATTTGCTTATTTTATTAGTTTGCTTATTGTATCATTTGCCTGTTAAATCTACATATGGGATAAAGCTTGTTTATCTTTAAAAGTATTGTGTGTGTGCCTTTTCTTCTCTCGCGGGTCTCCCGCCCAGAACAATCTGTACTGATATTCCCTCTTTCATTTCATTTGTTAGTAATTGGTGCCTTTTTTTTTCTTAATTAGCCTGGCTAGAGGCTTATTGATCTTTTCAAAGAAGCAGCCTTTTATTTTATTGATTTTTCTCTACTGATTTTCTGTTTTCAATATCATTGATTTCAATTTTAACTTTCATTTTCTTTATTTGCTTACTCTGGATGTAATTTGCTCTTTTCTAGTTTCCAAAGGTCAAAGCTTACATTACTGACTTTAGATCTTTCTTCTTTTCTAATATGTGCATTCAGTGATATAAATTTTTCTGTAAGCACTGCTTTCACCACATCCCACAGATTTTGATGTTGGATTTTCATTTTCAGTTAGCTCAAAATATTTTTTAAATTTCTCTTGAGATTTCATCTTTGACTCATAATGTTATTTAAAAAGTATTATTTGGCTGGGTGCAGTAGCTCATGCCCATAATCCTGGCACTTTGGAAGACTGATGCAGGAGAATTGCTTGAGTCCAGGAGTTCAAGACCAGCCTGGACAACATGGAAAGACCCTTTCTCTACAAAATAAAAAATAAAAAATATTAGCCAGATATGCTGGTAGGTGCCTGTGGTTCCAGCTACTCAGGAGGCTGAGATGGGAGAATCTCTTGAGCCCAGGAGGTTGAGGTTAAAGTGAGCTGTGATCATGCCACTGCACTCCAGCCTGGGCAACACAACGAGACTCCATCTCAAAAAAAAAAAAAAAAAAAAGAAAGTGTTGTTTAACCTCCAAGTATTTCTGGATTTTCCAGCTATCTGTCTGTTACTGATTTCTAGTTTAATTCTGTCATGGTCTAACAGCAGACATTGTATGATTTCTCTTCTTTAAATTTGTTAAAGTATGTTTTATGGACAAGAATATGGTCTGTCTTGCTGAACAATATATCTCTTTTTTTTGTAATGAATTGAAGACTCTCAGATTCATATGGAAATTTTAAAATAACTGTATTTTCTCTCAGTGATACATATTTTGCACTTGATTTCCAATTTATTCCATGATTTGTTCTCATAGTTAGGAGGGAGTCTTTCATTTTGATGTGGTGTTCCTACATATGCCAACCTAGGTCTCAGAAATGGCACCCAGAGTGGCATCTGTGGGAAATCTAGGCTGTCTTCATGAAATATATATGCACATTGGTGAAAGTTTTCAACATTATGAATCTGTACATGAACTTTTAAAAAAAATATTGGCTTTAGAGTCATACCTCATCAGGTAGGAATTTGTTAAAATGGGCAAACATTTAAAATTTCTCAGAGATTAACTAATAATTAACTTCTGTTATTTTTAAGTGTTACTTTTTTTTTTTTCTATTTCATTTAGTTTTGTCAGCCTGGCGGGTGGCAACTGTCCAGAGAGAGGAAGCAGCCAACGTTCTTTGTGGTTGTCCTGACAGATATTGACTCAGATCGACATTACTGCTCATGCCTGACCTTCTATGAGGCAGAGATTAATCTTCAGGTACAAAAACCTTTACTAGCTAAAGTACAGTCGAAGGTACAACATTTAGGAATGTTTTTTATATGCCATATTTTTGTTAAAACTGCAAGTTTGAGTTTTATGGGCTAGCTTAAGAAGCATGTAGAAATTTTTATGTTTAAGGTTGGAGAGGAGAGCAACATGTTAAAATTACTTTCCAGATTTAATTGTCCTTTTTCAAAACATTGATCATAATCTGAATATTTCTAAAAATAGTGCATCCTTGAATTGGTTTATTAAGAATATTAATTTCTTCTCTTGGTGAACCTATGATTTTCCCTGCCAGCCCTTCTCCTGGGAGGTCTTTCATAGAATGTGGAACATTTACTCAAAATGTTTGCAAATCATAATTACAATGCCTGACATTATTGTTTAGGCATCCAAATGTTAACTCATTCTTCTTAGGGGTAATGTTATCAACATGATCAGGCAGAAATTCATAAGCTAGAACTATGAAGACTTAGAAAATAATTGCCCTTTCAGACTATTGGTTGAGGTTCTTAATTTCACACTACTGGCTCTACTTTCTCTAAGCAGAAAGGAGTCATAACAAAGTATTTGGCAGCTTATGAAATTTTAGGGGTGAGGGACAAGCAGGGAACCAATTCTGGGTACTAGGAACAGCCCAGCTTGGTGCTAGTCTCATAGAAACCATATTCCTTCCACCTTTTACCACTTGTCACTTATGATGCTGGGTATATATCAGACATTATAACCTTCACCATAGTTGTGCTAGAATATCCATTCTCCTGCAGATATTCACACTGCTGACTTCTGCTTTAGTCTCACACTGCTGACTTCTGCTTTTAAGTTTTACATGAGTTGTTTCTTTGGTGGAAGTAAGATTGCATATAGAGCCCATTTTGCCCCAAAAAATGAAGGGATTTTTTTTTGTTGGTGCTGGTGGTGGTGGTTTTTCTTTCCAGGCTCTATAATACAAGAAGGAAACTGTAAAGGGGATTTGGAAGATATTGAGTAAGCCAGTTTGCATAATCTGCTGTAGTTTCTGCTACATATAGAGTATCACTACTGGGGGGAAAAGATTGGCCTGCTTTCTGAAATGGCTTAACAAAGGAGTGTTTGGTAGTTTTGATTATGTTTATTAAACTCTAAGATCTGAATTTTTTGGATGCAGAAATCTGATTTTTGAGTAAGAGGAGACAAATTACCTTTCATGATGCAGACTCATTATTCAAGTTCATTAGACTGATGTATTAAAACCAACATGCTAGATTACTAATTTATAGAGAATGTGAAAAGTGCTGAAAATGCATATAGAACAAAATATGCATCATCAACACGTTGTCTTCCTGTCACCAGATCTTAGTAGAAAGCCATATCAAAGTATGGACTTTTGATTATGGAATCAAACTAAGGGATATTTGATGTTAAATACTTCAAGACTATCAGACGAACATAGCCTGTTGCTTCTATTTGAAATTAGAGATTATGTTATCAATGGGGACAGAAAACTTTAAGTGTGATTTAAAGTCTCCTCTCCCCTGGATAATGTGTGGATGTATGTTGCCAACAAATAGCTAATCAACTTCTCATTTTGATCAATTCAATCTGAATAAGTTAGAGAGTGTTCTCTACCCAAGAACCACTTTGTCTCTTTTATTGGCCTTTCATTTCTCTGTTGATCTTTAGCATTTAAGTTAATGCTGAGAATTCAATATTTTCTGTTATTTCCATATTCTTGAGGGTATTGCTTCACAACTCCTTGGAATTATCTAATGAAACTAACTATAATTATTTAGATTCTCCCTCTTCACTATTCACCGCTCTTCTTCTAGACAAACTATCAGAAAGGCAATATATTGACATTATATTAATAGCAGATGTTTATAAATAGGTTCTAGGAATTCTTGGGTATTTTTCAAACTTTTAATTTGGAAATAATTTTCAACTTAAAGAAAAGTTGCAAGAATAATGCAAACATGTATATAGCCTTTACCCATATTCACCTGTTGTAATATTTTGCCCCATTGATTTATTTGAGGTCTTTCTTCCCTACCCTTCCTTTCTCACTTTATCCCTTTTTCCCTCTTCCCCTCCCTTCCCTCCCCTTCTCCCCCATACACACACACACAGTTTATTTTTTCTGAACCATTTGAAAGAAAGTTACATGTATCATTTACCCTTACCCTAAATTCTTTAGTATATGCTTCAGAGGTACGTGAACAGTATGTAAACAGTACGGTTATCAACCTCAGGAAATTTAACATCAATATAATAAAACCTACCATCCATGTTCCAGTTTTGTCATTTGACCTAATAATGTCCTTTATAGCACCCCCCATCCCTTTTTTCTTCCAGTACAGGATCTAGAACATACTACATATATTGCATTTAGTTGTCATTTCTCTTTTGTCTCTTTCCATGTGGAATAGTTGTGCAGCCTTTCTTTGTCTATAATGTGGACATTTTTAAATAATGTAACTTTTCACCCCCATTTTTAATACAATGTTTCTTATTTTGCGTTTGCAATGTCTCTCATTGTTAGTTTCAGGCTCTGCACCAACAGTTGGAATATTACCTGTGTTCCTTCTAAGGGACTCTTTCTTTTTTCTTTCTTTTTTTTTTTTTTTTT